GAACCTTAAGGCTTCGCGTTGGATAAGGAAATAGCAAACTACTCCAGTATTCTTGCCCGGAGAATCCCATGGACAGAGGAGCCTGGCAGGCTACCATCCATTGGGTCGCAAAGAGTCAGCTATGACTGAGTGACACACACACAAGGCTTCCCGTAAAAGTACGAGGAAGTACTTTTAAGTTACAGAAGAGCTTTCAGGGTGCCAGACTCCAGCTGGATACAGTTGTTAAGAATGTACCACTAGTGATGAGCTGAAAATGAGAGGGACTGAAAAATTGAGCTTTCAGATGTCATTTCAGTGCAAAAGGAGTACGAATGGTTCCACAATATAAAAACAGAGTTCCGCCTCTAAATCAAAATCAGCTTACAATTGGAAGGGTATCGCAATTTCCTGCTTTTATCTAATCTGAATATAAGCAAATAACTTTAGAGGGAATGAGAGAAACCAAGAGTTCCTGGGAATTTTGAAAGCCTTTAGGCTATTCTGTTTTTTGTCACAGTCTATTATGCAGTGCTACACTGATTTCAGATATCACACTAGTGATATGTAACAATAAACCATAGAGTTTATAGACTCCTTATAAAGTTCTAAGCCCTTTATGTCTATTGTATGCATCCCCTTCAATTAACTTCATCCAGCGACTCTCAGTGGGGGTAATTTTGCCCCCCAGAGAGTATTGAGCAATCTCTGGAGACACTTTTGGTTGTCATAACTTGGGGGAAGGGTAGATATTGGCATCTAAGGTGTAGAAGAAGCTAGAGATGCTGCTAACCATCCTACAATGTACAGGACAGTCCCCCACATCAAGGAGTTATTCAGTCCCAAATGTCAATAGTGCTGAGGTAGAAAGACCATCACTGAAGACATTCAACAACATTTGGAGGTAGGTATTATTAACCTCATTTTCAGAAAAGGGAACTGAGACACAGAAAGGTTAAGTAACTTACCCAAGGCCACACAGCTAAGAAAGCAGTGATACCAAGATTGAAAAACTAGCTCTTTATTGCCTCAACGTCCAAACTCTTTCCACTACACTCTGTTGCTCTCTCTTCAGGGAATTTTGATGACCATGTATAGACTCTGAGTTTTGGAGGGTGGAGATCCTTTTTAATTCCTTATCCCTGCCTTAGCACTGAGCGCTTGCTTGCTGAGAGATTAATGGCAATGATTCATCTCTTGACCATCTTCAGATTTCCCCTTTAGAATGACATTTCAACTATTAGGTCAGCAACCCCTAGAGGAAATTGTTTGATTGTACACAGTATTACTAAATAAGAGATGAGTTGAAAGGAAAACAGAAGACACAATTCGTGTGTCCAAGGAGGTTGTGGGGAAGAAAGGTTATGTATGGATATAAACAGAAGTATTGGTGCATGTGTGTTTATAAACATGATTTTCAGAACCAAACAGAATATTAGAAGTGGTAACAAATAAATGATAATCTGGCTTAGTCATGTACCAAGACGCCTCTCTCTGGGTCTGAAACATCTTTGTGAGATTCAGTGTGTGTTGGCATCACTTCCTGAGGGGTGCAGGAAGAGCCTCAGCTGCTTACTCTTCTAGGTTAGATACATTTATTAGCAGAGCCAGTCTATGCATGGGAAGCTGGCAAGACTTTGCCCCTCTCTTGTTTTGCGACTTTGGCCTTACTCCTACTTTTCCAGGTTTTAGTGCACTCACGGCCATGCTCTGCTTATCACTATTAAAGCCTGTTCTCAGGGAAGAATCTGAGGAACATACTCAAATTAAATTGAACATAATGGATAACTATAGTGCACTTTCACTCTGTGATACCTAATGATGAAACTTCAGCCATCATGGGATGGCAGAATGAATAATGTAGAATAGGAACACGAGAGGAAGGGTATCTCATGAACTTTCGTATCGTGAGATCATTTAAGGAAGCACGTGGTACACTGCGGAACACATAGTAGGTACTACATAAATGTTGGCTTCCTTTCCTTCTCCTTCTTGTCTTCTTGCTTCTTTTTAATAGACCTTGAAAATGATGCTGCACTATTATACCCATGTTCACAGCATTTTTCACAATAGCTAAGACCCATCAATCAAAAAATGAATGGATAAGCCAAATGTGACATATATGTACAACGCCATATTATTCAGCCTTAAAAAGGAAAGAAATCCTGGACCATGCTACAACATGGAAAAACCTTGAGGACATTATGCTAAGTGAAATAAGCCAGCCACAAAAAGACAAATACTATATGATTCCATTTATATGAAGAACCTAGAGTCAAAATCATAAAAATAAGAAACTATACTGGTGGTTGCTAGACCAGGGGGGAAGGGAGGATGGGAGTTATTGTGTAATGGGTATAGAGTTTCAGTTTCACAAGATAAAAAGGGTTACTGTGATGGCGGTGGCTATTGCACAACAATGTGAATGTGTGACCGAACTGTATGTACACTTAAGAATGGTTCAAGATAGCAAATTTTATGCTGTATGTATTTTACAATAAAGAAACCATACAAATGACCACCTAATCTTCTCTACCGAAGATCAGTTCTGCTTAAAACATCAGGAAATTCTGTGGGGAAAGTATATGTAGTGGTTACATGCTTGGTCTCGGAGAGTAGTTGGTTTAGGTTGAAATCTCAGTTTTCTGTTACTATTTACTGTGAAACTTGCTTGGGAAAATTTCTAAACTTTTTGTACCCCAATTTCTTCACCTATAATATATATATATAATGACAAATGTAATATCTCATGAAGGTGTTATAAGGATTTAAAAAGGCAAAGCATTCTGTGTATTTAGCATGGCACCTTATGTATATGGTAAGTGCTTAACTAATGTAAGCTATTATAACAATAAATACAATTTTGTGAGCTGATATTTGAGCAGCTTGGAGACAAGAGCTTCACTGTTTCTTACTACCAATTCTTGATATCTCAAAGACACAATTAGGAATTCAGTCATGACCTTCAGCCATATTTGAACAATTCCCTGGTGCATAAATCTACATTCCCACATTAGGTATGTACCTGGATGCAAGCCTTAAAAGTCATGTCTCAAAAAAAAAAAAAAAGTCATGTCTCAGTTAATTCATTTGTTCATGTTAGCTAACCATGCTAATGTTCTGAACAATGGTGATGTCTTACTGATGCCAAGAACAAATTTGGGAGGTAGGCTTTTATGATAAATATCTAGGGTCTTCCAATGTACATGCGTGCACACATACTTAAAATGGAATATTATAGTTAGATGTCATTTATTAAAAGTGTGTAACTTCAGTAGCTACTTGGTTTTCAGCTTTCTGCTTTCTTGTCTCATTCTTGAACAGGTCTAGCAATTATGACTGCATGAAACTAATGAGAAGAAAGACTGGTTACACCAGTTTAAGTGATAGTATATAAATACATGAAGGATGATTCGATTAGAAGCAGTATTACCCACTGATAGGAGTGACAGTTTGAAAGCAGACATCAGTTTAAATGTTAGCTCTACCATTACAGGCATTTACTTCTCTTTTCTATTTCCTCTACTGAAAATTGGGGAGAATAACACCTATTTACATGGTTGCGGTAAGATTTCCATGAGATGATGTCTAGCAAACAGTAAGAAATCAAGAAATAGTCACTAAGTTATTTATTCTTTCTAGAGGAATGAGATTGACAAATATTTGGGGTCTCAGAGGCATATTACTTGGTCAGCTTCTATGATCTTATTTGGAATATAATTCTTAATCTTTTTATTGTCACTTGTTCTTTGAGAACAAAGAGGAATTGACTACCGCTTCATTTCAAAATGTGTGTATTACATTTGATGGGTTACATTAGCAGTTATAAAGCAAACAGTAGAGTGGGAGGTGGGGAAGTGGATGAAGTGAGTTCAATCACATACCTGGGAAAAGTCAATAATGAAGGCAGAGCCTGAATTTGTATGCCATACTGAAGAGAGGAAAACACAGGTGCAGGGATTATGAATTAGAAATTACTTTCTCCTGGTGTTTATGCAGTTTGCCTATCTCTTTGGTGTTATTTTATCTACTGTTAAAATTTAGGATAACAAAATTTAAATGTTTATAAAACCACTTTAAGATTTAAAACATGGTGACATGGAAATGCAAAGGGGAGCTATAAAGACCGGATGAACCCATTTATTAATTTAAATACGTGTTCCTGTCTGTTAGTAAGAAGTGCACAATTTCATTTGTACTGTATCTGGGTGACCACAAATCAGCGATAACCAATTCATAAGTAAATGCCCTTGCTTTAGATGTAGAGGCATTAACTGTAATCAGACCAAAATTTTCACTTCCATTTGAATTTTTCAATTTAAACTCGGTGTGCCCTTGCTTTTACACAACAGGATTCAGGAATTAAAGGGTTGGCTCTTTAAAAGCCATCAAACAGGCACACGGTCCACGAAGCAAAAACTCGGGGAAGTTCGTGCGCGCACACCTGGGAAAGCTGAGATGCCCTTCAAGAGTTGAAGATGGCGTTTCCACGAGTCAGGTCAGAGTTAACGCGCTACCTTCGCTTCAAAGACTGGATTCCTCTCAGTGTATTAGTCATGATGTTTTGCTGACCGAGAGTTGGAACTTCGTATGAGGGCGGGTGAGTTTACATTCTGTCCGCTCGTCATCCTCATAATTGCTAACACGCACAAGACTTCTTAAAAAACGCAAACTGGACTGAAAAAATTCAGGGCAGACAAGGAGCAAATCCTGGGCGGGTAGTGGACACAGCGGTAATTCCTCTCACCTTCTTATAGGAATTGCCTCCACCTGTAGTTAAGTACGTCTCTTAAGGGACCACACTTGGCACTCACCTAAGCCTGAGACTAACAAGCTTGCTTCTTCCCTCTGACTCGCCAAGGAAGCGCTAAGGTGAACACAGCTGCCGCTGTCGCGGAACCGTCCGGCTCTCTGAGGCTGCCTTTTGATAACCGGAGGGACAGATTTTCGTTCCCCTTTCAAAATGCACCTTGCAAACGCAACACGAACGCGCTAGGATCTCGGGAAAAGGGAGGAGGCAGATGGCTCGGGGGAGTTGGCCTCGGCGTGCCGCGGGTTCCGCGGAGCCCGGCGCGCAGGAGGCGCCCCGGGGCACTGCCTGCTGCTCCTGCCGGCGGCTCCTTCTGTCCTCGCGCGGCCGAGTCTGGCCCTGGAGAGCGGCCGCGACGGTGTCCCCCACCTGCGGGCTGGGCTCGGCCGGATGGTAGGGACGCCGACCTGGAAGGAGCGCGCGCGCGAGGGAGGGAGGCGTGGGGAAAGCGAGCGAGGGAAGGGAGGCAAGAAGTAAGGAGCGGTCGGGGTGGAGAAAGCCGCTACCGCGGATTTGAGGCCCGGCCGGGCAGCGCCCAGCTTTTAACCTGGGCAGTGGAGGCGGGGGAAAGGAGCGAAAGGGAAGGGGAGGTGTGTGCGGCAGGGGTGGGTGGGGGGAGTTGGAAGCAAGTGACATCACAGCAGGTCAGAGAAAAAGGGGCGAGCGGCAGGCAGAGAAGAGTAGGGCTTTTGGCACTAGGAGCTCTTGCCCGGCCTGCCCTGGCAGGGACCTCGGTGCCCCCAGAGACCATGCAGAGGTCGCCTCTGGAAAAGGCCAGCGTCGTCTCCAAACTTTTTTTCAGGTGAGAGGGTGTCCAGTTGAGCTTTGGAAGCACACGTGCCCAGAAAAGAGGAGGACGCGTGTATGGTTGGGTTTTGGGAAAAGAGGATTAATTTTTTTTTTTAAAGGTGCCGTATCATTCATTGTTATGGAGGAGAAGGAGGATTTTGTGGAATATGATAGAAAGCATTAGGAAGAGATAATAAACTGAAGCTCATTGTTTGAATAGAGTCTTAGCTTAACACTGAAGTTTTAACTACTTGCAACTGAAAATCATCCTCTTAAGGCCCAAATGTGCTGCTGTGCAATTGTTTTCTTGGATTTTTCTAAGAAATTTGTGAATTATAAACTTGTTAGTAACAAATATTTAAATTTGGACTCTGTTTTCCCTCCTCTTCATGACTTGGAAACTTAGAAATCTTGGTTCACCTACAGATGCCATGGCTGCATGTCATAGGTGCTCAGTTGACTGAATTTTGAACGTTTTTAGGGGAGAAGTATAAAGTGAGTAGTATGTACTTAAAGTTTTTATTGTTATGATACTGCATATATCTAACAAGTATTTTCCACAATTCCATTACTCTTTCTTTTAAGAATGAGAGCAAATCTTTTGAAATATCTTTTTTTAAAAAAAAGTTCTACAAGCTATAAATTTTAAAAGAGGGGTCAGAATTACCATGGAAATGTGAAACCTTGGGAATAGATACTGAAGTTAAACCCACTGACATTTAATCAATTGTCCTCTTAGCATACTTTGCCTGTGATGAGCCATAAAACACAAGTGCATCTTGTGAACTTCATCTAATGAGAATTTAAAAGTTCAGAGTCTTAGGCAAAGTGTGATTAGATGTAGCATTTCATATTTGAAGTGCTCTTTGGATACTGTATCTACTTTATTCCTGTTATATTTGTATGAATAGGTATACTCATATCTCATGGGCTATTACTTAATTCATAAGTAGCCAATGAATCAGCATACTTAGCTATCAGAAAAGCCAAATACATAATAAATATGCCCATATGTGTATGTGGGGAAGGAACTTGGCTTTCACATCTTTTTAATATTTTATTCTCTGAATGGGCAGCAAGTGCTGAACTCAGGTGCTAAGGAGAGGGCGTAGGCCATTGAAGGAGAGAGCTCCTCCCTGTGGATGGGAGAGAAGGACTTTACTCTTTGGATCTGCCTTTGGGGTTGGAGTTTTCAGCGGCTTGTGTTATGTTACTCCATCTACACTAGTGGGACTATCTGTTGATCTATTTTCCTGTTATTTACAAAATCAGAATGTTAATTGGCAAAAATTGTAGCTATTTTAGTAGAGCACTTTGAAGAACCTAAAGGCCATTCTGTCTAAAAAAATGCAGTTTAAAAAAATCAGTTTTCAGAAGAATGCATACCTCATGGCTATGTCTAAGTTCTAAGGAACTTTAAATTAGCTCATTGTTGATTTAAGTTAGATCATTGTTGGTCTATCAAAGTATTTTCTGTTTTTAAAACAGATCACCCTATACAGTTTAGTTTTAAAAATGCTCTCAGGTGGATTTGTTAAAAAGTAAATATTATAAAGGCTACTAAATTTGTTAAGAGAATACTCAATCCTGTTCTTCAAACTACTTTATAATAAGTTGCTCTAAGAATAGGTATATTTGAAAAAGTTTAGGTCCTACTATTTATAGGAACTGACAATCACCTAAAGCACCAGTGATTATAAACTTCCTTCTGGGTTGTTATTCTGGAAGGGTAAGAAACTTGTTTTCTGTGTTGGATTATATAATACTGGAAGGCTTTGGATTCAATTTTTTTTTCATTTATATCCCCAACCTGCTAGTTAGTAGCTCTGTGACCGGAGGCAAGTCCCTTAACATCTCTGTTTGTGTGACTTGACCTTGAAAACTTGGAGACTAATAGGACTGGTGTCTTAAGTGTGTGAAAGTCCCTTAGTCTTGTCTGACTCTTTGCGACCCAGTGGGCTGTAGCCTGCCAGGCTTCTCTGCCCATAGAATTCTCCCGACAAGAATATTGGAGTGGGTAGCTGTTCCCTTCTCCAGGGGATCTTCCCAACCCAGGAATTGAACCCAGGTCTCCCTCATTGCAGGTGGATTCTTAACAATCTGAGTCACCGGAGAAGCTTAATTTATTAGGAAAATGCATGTAAAGTAGTTAGCCTAGTAAATCTTTACTGCTATTATTACTCTTATTAATTACCATATTTTTACATTCTTTACTTTGTACCTTGTTTATATAAATATTCAATTCATCTTTGTTGAAATAAGTTTATGACAATCCACCTGCATATGCAATGAATGGCCTAGATAAGAATTTAGATAAAATCTCATGTAACATGGCCCTACCAGATATACAGGAAAAAAAGTCATATGCTTGTGTAATATGTTGTTAAATGTCTTAGAATTTAACTTTTTGAGTATGATCCAGTCAGTTTCAGAGTCATAAAAGAGTACAGCTGTTATAGGCTGGGTTATAGTTTATATTAAGTATCTCTCTTATTGTCTGGATTTTGTTATTGGAAAGACTAATAAAGTTTAGGAAAAAATTAAATACTTAATTTTGCCTGAGTTTTACATGAAGTATGAAATTTGAAAGACACCTGAAGTGTCATAATGCATAAAATAATAATAATGTTACAATGTCAGTATTATAAACATAATCCAAAAGAGAATTTCACTGCAAAAATTCAAATTATTTGTATCTTGGAGACCAAGTTACATTAACATAAAGCTTTTATGAAATACAAGGTTTTTTAAACTAGAGGTGATAATATTTGCATAGAATTTATAATTTATATACCAGTGTGATTGATTTACAGATGTTTTCCAAGAGAGATTATGTTTTTCATTTTTGAGCAATTTGTCAAGTTTACAGTTTCTAGCAGTTTGTTATTCTGTCCCTTCTCCTATGCCCTGATTTTCCCATATTCTCTTTAGATGTTATTGTGTATCAAGCCATGCGTCAGATGACACAACTTGAATTTCGATCATGGTTTTCATACCAGAAGTCTAGATCTACACTTTAGGAATATACCCGCAGAATCCGTGTATACAATGCCACAAATTTCTTACAAGACTGGATTTAGGGACCCCAATAAATTCCACAGATGAGTCTCAAATAAGACCAAAAAGTAAACAATGTTAGACTCAAAAAAGTATAAAGATGTTTAATCATAATTTGTTAACAGTCAAGGGCTACTTAAGTTTAGGTATTATTCAAAAAATGTATTGCAAACTTTAAAGACATTTCTTAATGAAGAGAAACGTAAGTGCTTTGAGCAACAGAAGATGATTATAATAAATATGTAATCAAAGACCCATAAAGATAACAGTTTTGAAGAGGACCACACCTATTTGCTTATATGAGTTACAGTATATGTTGAAAAAAATCCATCACAATGACTTTATATTTACTTTCTTCAAGGCAAGAGGAAATCTGAAATTATGGCAGAGTCATCAGTATTTTTTCAGTTCGTCAGGGGAATTTATAGAAATTTTGCCAAAGGAGACTAGTTGTCCACTCAAACAAGGGCCTGTTCCTGTCCTAATCAATACACATATAGTATCTCAGGTTTGCCTCTCAGACAAGGCAGTCTAAGCCTTGTACTCCAAATGTACTCCAAATGTAAAGAAACAGCTGCATGAAACAGAAGGCCGATATGAGATGCACAGTTCATATTGAGATGGACAGCTGCTAAGGGACACTTAATACCACAAGTTCATTTAGTCAATCAGTGGGCCAACACCATCCAGTGAAGACAGCCCAGGGTTCCTATACATTCTCTTGACTTTGTCTCTTGTAGGTATACCACTTTGGGGACAGGGGCCCCTCCCTCTTGAACAGTGTTGCCTGAACACTGACAAATGTTGACTCCTTAGACCAGTCCCTTAAAATTCCTTTCTATCCATCTGTGTTTTGCTAATCATGTTCTTATGATACAGATTTTTAACTTGGGATATGTGTCAGTTTTGATTGATTCAACTCTCAAGAGTTCTTGAAGTACTTCTTTTGCATGATATTACTAAAATTATATGTTTTATTATATAAAATGTATGCATATATATTGTGTGTGTATATATTGTGTATGTGTGTGTATATATATATATATATATATATATATATATATAATTTTCTTTTAGTTCGTTTTGCAAGTTTAAAAAATTCGCCCTTGATTATGAAGTGTATTCCAATAGTTTTTATATGTTAGTTCAAATTATTACTTAACTCTCTGGGAAAACTCATAACACATAACATACAGTGTAACTGTAATTTTCTATTCCTTGTTAAAGTGAGAAGTGGAATCAGTTAACTGCTTCATCAATATTTTATGTTTGATGTGACAGTCAAAATATCCTCTAGAGACAGCTGATACACTGGGGAAATCATGGTTTTTCCCTTGTGTTTCATAGGAAGAAGTAGAACTTAGTGTGATAATATTCAATGCATAAACGTTAAAGCTTGTTTAAAAAGGCCCTTAAATGATCCTGACATAAAAATGTGTTGTTATTGTCAGTGTCACTTCACAGGAACCTGTAATTTCAGTGATAGAGCTACAATATAAATATAGGATTGCAAAACCATCAGGGAAGGGTGTTAATCATTTAGCATGCAGCTGTGTGTTGTTCGGCAAAACTTTAAAAACACCTCTGACTCAGTAGTAATTTTGGCAATTTGATTCCACTGATTCCAGACGCATCTTTGTAGGGCTCTTCCCTGGAGCAAAATCCCCGCTATGCAATGAGATCAAGAAGGGAAAACAGATTATGATAGATGTCTGGTTGTTTGGGGACCCAGACTGAAGGCTTACTTTATAAATATGTTAAGTGAGTTATCACAAAGCAAAACATTACTATTTCAGGTGCTTCTCTTCAGTTCCTAAGATTTTATGTTGTGGCTGTTTGAAAGTAAAATTAGACTTACAAAGCGGCTTTGCTATTGAGCCTGAGAGTTTAGACTTCTTGTAGCAAGAAAACTGTAGAAATTCAATTAACTTGTTTGATGTAAAGAATGAATATGTT